GACTATGATGCTTGCCAGCTCCTTGAGTACCCTGGGGTGTAGATTGTCAGGGCCTGCTGACTTGAAGGTGTCCAGCCTCTCAAGGTGTTCCTTCACGAAGTCTGCATTGATGGAGGGCAGGAAATCTCCCTCACCTGGATCTCCCTGTTCCGCAGCGGGCATGGGCATCCCATGGGACTGACAAAAGACTGACACAAAGTACCCATTTAATAGGTTGGCTTTTTCCTGGGCGTCAGTCGTCCCATCTGGTTTAGCAGGCGTCCAATGTTGCCCTTGCTTTCCACCCATGGGTTGTGGCTCTCCCCACCCCTCACAGGTCGTACCTTCCTCCCTCCCCATCCACAGGTCACACCTGCCTCCCTATCTCCCAGCAGACCCCCAATCCCCTCCAGCCTGCTGGACACCCAATGCGCCAGCTAGCCAGCCCCCCCCATCCCGACTTACCTGATATCGGGCAGCCATTTTGAATCAATTTAACCTCCCCCTAAAGCCCCCAAATGTCTGTACTTAGCCAAAATTAGACAAGATGAGATGGAGAGCACATATACACTGTACCTGGAGAGGCTGTCCAAAGCCTTGATAAAACTAGCAGTTCCAGGCTCCTCCTTCTCTATATTCTCCATTAGAGAAGCCGTTGCATACACTATGTCACTTGCTAAAAACTTATTCTTAAAACCAAAGTGAATGCTGAAAGTCTGCACTCTTAAATCTTTCATTCTGTAAAAGTAGACCAAATCAAAACAGTTATTATAACATTTTAATGATTAACACTGATCACCCCCAAAGAAAGCTAAAATTTCAACTTAACTTCTCTGGCTAGCCTATAATAATAAATTATCTCTATTTCGGCATGTATTACTTTACAATTACGTATGGCTTCTGAGACAAGCTGTGACCTCCTTTTGAAACTTAAGAAATGACTACACAAATGATTTGGACAGAGGACAGCACCAGGAGTTGGAAGTGCTAAGTTCTAAGTCTAATGCTGCAATAATGGGAAAGTGCCTAGAAGCCCTACTCTGCCAAAGTGCCTTTTAAAGTCAGGTCAACTTTTTCCAAGCTGTTAGGTTGGAAAAATAAAACTACTATTAATTTACTATCTATACTATTGCAGGAGCTGAAAGGTTTGAAAGTAACTGAATCTGGGTACTCAAAAAGGTTGGATTTAAAAAAAAAAAAAAAAATTTACCCAAATTTGTTAGCCGATTCTTCAATCATGTCCCGCAAGTTCTCCTTCAAGGACATGTCCATGGAATTAAACTTTTGTTTCACCTGCTTCAAAGGCAACCTACAATGTGGAAAAATACATCATTGTGCACATTTAGGGATGAACAGTTAAATTACCTGCATTCCAAGCACAGGAACAGTTTCTTTCCATTAACACTAGATTAAAAGCACTTCTGTGTTCATCTACATAAAATACTGCAAGAAGGATGGGGATCACTTCATTGATCAACTACTAAAGTCAGTTCAATAGCTAAAAAGGCTTGCTGAATGAATGAGTACAGCAGGCTGAGCAAAGCACAGGTACCATTATCTGCCCATAGTGCCATTTTCATATTTAATTAAGTTTTGAGGTGGGCAGTTATGACCATGACATTTTTAGGCTCTCAGTATTTTCACGCACCTACTATTATGGAAAAAGTGTTTTTTCTTTTCCCCAGTTGATCCTCAGAACTTACCCCATATCAGCCAGAAATTCCTGTAGTCTCTTTTGCCCTTGAACAGACCAAAGCTTTAGACTGGCAGATGTATAACAGGTGTTACACAGGCTTTCATACAGGGACCAATGCTGATAAAGGGCCAAGCGCAGACTGAAGATGTGGACAGAAATTAGGGAAAATAGTTACGACGTACATGCTTTAAAACTTAGTAAGTTAGTTATTACCTTAAATAGTAGTCTTATTTTCCCTACCTGCCACCTTCACCAGTCCTAATTACTTCTTTATTAACTATCCCATTTGAATAGAGTTCTAGGTGTATATAACAACTCAACACAGTGAATATGCTTGTATAGCCATCATTCTTTCCCTTGGGTTTACATATCAACTTAGAAAGTGTACCCACATACTTCATACAACACTGATTTGAAGTAACACAATTAAACCTTCCAAAAATTACACTCAGGAACTTTAGTCATTATGGGCATAGCCCTGTGTCAACACCATTTTTTTCCCCCCCAGCAACATATTTCCTAGCACAAATGGAAACTTGTTTCTTTTTCCTAGATGAGGCCTTGAACCTGTCACAACAGGGTTTTTCTATTGTTTATTTTATTTAAACTCCTGGATATTTATAGATCAGCGCAAAGTTAAGGTCTAATTTTAGGCAAGGATACTCGTATTCAAATGCTATTCTCATGCAATCAATAGAAAGGGAGTTCTCTTCATCCTCATTGCGATGATTATGCCGTGACACATGACGCTGTAGGATTCCAATATCAGTCACATATTTCATTCTTTAAAAAACAAACCAAAAAACAAACCAATAAAAAAACAACAATCCATACGCAAGAGTCACTTTACCTTCTTTCCCTTCATATGTCCATTCCTATTATCTACTGCAAAAAACTTTTCCCTGAGAGCTACACAATGCCTAGTCAACTTCACAAAAATGAGAACCAATTTTTTAAAAGATTTTTGCAAAAAGTGTTTAAGGTTTTTTTTGATACTAGGCAGTACATAGGAAAAATAATCAATAAATAAAAACACACACACAGAAAATGAAACGCTTCCAAATTTTAAAGAGTAAAATAAGCAAGAAAATGCTCAGGAGTACAGGATGAACTGCAATTTTTCCTTTAACCAAAGTTACGGCTATCAAGTTACCCTTTCAGTGTCCCACCATTAATCGCTACTTCCTTATGATCTCAGCAACTCCACATACATTCATTAAGATATTCAAGTGTAGGTTGTTTAACATGCATCACAATTTCTATTACTTATTTTAACAAAGACAAATCAACAGCTTACTGAGTGATTTTATCTTGAACCCACTGGTCTGTTAGCCCAACAATAGCCCACCTAAAAATGGAAAAAAATATAGTCAGACAGGAAAAAGACTTTAGTCCAGCATATAAAAGTTCATCTTACAGCCATGGTAGAGGAGGAGTCTGCTACATTAAATAAGATTTGTGTACAACCAATGTCAAGACAGTTCTGTACTAACTTAATACCTATTGCACAGAGGTGCACCAATATATTGGTTGCATACTGGATCGGCACCAATAAAAGGAAAATTAACATTATTGGCAGGCAGCTTTTTTGGCCAGAGAAGCCAATAATGTCACTGATAAATGCTATGTGCATGCACACAGCCACCATGCATGGGGCCTGGAGTGTAGCCTGGCAGCTTGGAGAGCACTGTCTGGTTGGTAAGTCTATGGGGGAAGGGCCACGTGTGAAAGGGAAGGGGTGTGCGCGCACGTGTGTGGTCAGATTGAGGCCCCCATGGTGAGGGAGGGGCTGGGGTAGGCACTGCCCAGCCACGGTGGGGAGTGGACCCGGGGGGGTGGGGAGGGCAGCTCCCTGCTGCTGCACACACCCCTGGGGATGGCATGGGAGGCATGTGCCCCTCAGATTTGTGTGTGGGGTGAGGATGGGCTACCTGCTGTGGGCTCAGGGCCAGGGGCTGTGCTGGCTTCTTCCTGGCAGGGGGGCTATGCACAGTGCTTGGAGGGGGGGCTATGGGGAATTTTGGGGTGGCTACAGCCCACCCTGTAGCCCACCTCCTCTCAGCACCGCCACCTGCTCCCACCTGCCCTGGCCCCCCTGTTGGAAAGAGGCTGGTGCAGCCCCTGGCCACGAAGTGGGCAACTGGCCCTCGCCCTGCATGCAAATCCAGGGGGCACATGCCCCCCATGCTTCCCCTGGGGGGGTGTGCAGAGGAGGGGAGCTGCCCTCGCCCATTTCGTGCACCCCAGACAAGCCACTTGCAACTCCACCCCACTTCCAGGGTCCATTCACTGCCTGCCCCTGCCTCTTAGTTACTGTGAAGTCTTGATCTGCCTCTCCACACCCTCCACCCCTTCTCCTTCCCTTCCACAGACTTACCAGCTGGATGCTGCATTCCTTTAAATTGGCTACTGGATCAGTATCAGGCAATATAGCTGGTTAATAATCTGCCATCAGTATTGGCCAAGAAAATCTTTATCAGTGCACCCCTACTACTATTGCAGTGACTCTCAGCCAGGGTGCTGCAGCAGTACATATTAGTGAAATAGATATAAATGTAACAAATGGATCAAGTAATTGTATTTTTACTGGGCAGAATTAATTAGACAGGTGGCCAAAGGAATAGTTTCAACTGATCCACGCAGCAAGTTTCTGTTGAAGTATAGTAGGCAAATTTTCAATGGAGGAACCCATCTCTAATCACATTCTCTCACACAAAAAAAATCTATGTATATTTAAATACATAAATATACTCTGCAATAATTCTAATATTATAAAAGCCTAAGTTTGTCCGTCTCTAACGCTTTATTTGCACTCTGATTGGCTGATGGAAACAGCCAATCAGAGTGCTTCAAGTGTGGGGGAGCGCTGCCATTATTCCAAAGCCACGCCAAGGACCAGACAGAGGGTGGGGGAGCTAAGGACAGCAGTGCTGGCCTCAGCTCCCCCACCCCACTCCCTGCAAGAGACAGAAAAGTGTCAGCATGGGGTGTTAGGTGGTAGTACTCCATCCCAGTCATCCCCCATCAAGAACTGGCAATTGGCTAGTACTGAATATAAATACCATTTGGAAATTTTGCATGTCTGGCCCATTATTTACTATGGGCAGTGAACATTAGCACTATAACAGGGCTACTTACCACAACATGTCATTCAAGTCTTTAGACATTTTCCAGGCCAAATCGAACATCACTATGGCAGACTACAGGAGGAAAAAGAAAAAGACAAATAGATGAGGAACCATAACATTAATTAGTCTCACATTAAAAACAAACTGCAGAAGTGTTATTCTCATGCACCAGCTTAGTAATAAAGCTTCTTTTAGATGCAGGCTCAAATCCAAGAATTCCAGTGTCCTGTTTCCCAAGATACCAAGGGAAATATGCATTACATTGCTGAAAAACATTATGTTTTCATATAGAAACTACTTTTCACAAAAAATGTAAACTATTCTGATAAGCTGCTAGTTTCCAGAAAGAACAATTTAGTTATCTACAGTTTAGGTTTGACAAGTCTATAACCCTTGAATATAAAAGGTACAAATCTCAAACTACTTGGCTCCTCTCTTTTGAAAAGTAAATTGAGTAACATGCATGTGTGAGTATAATCAGATTAGATCTTCAAAGGACAGGCCCCGCCAAGCACTAAAGATTGTCATAGAGCATCTTAAACTTAGAAACTTCTAGGAGACTTTAGAACAAAGAACCACTATTTCCCTTCTACTACTGTATAGAATATGCTAGGACTGTGCAAAGCTTCGGTCACTGATTCGATTGGGCAGATTCGGTGGTTGAATCTCCAAATCTGAATCGAATCAGGAGACCCTTTAATCTCTCCGAATCAAACTGGAACCCTCTGAATTGATTTGGAAAGATTTGACAATTCAGACACAGACACAGCTTTAAATGTTGTTTCTACATACCTCAAGGTAGCAGGTGGCTCATGAATGCTGTGATGCTAGGGCGCATGGAGCGTCCCACAGGAGCATGGGGGAGTCACCAGAGCGCTTGGCAGCAGACTCAGAAGCGGACCAGAAGCACTTCTGGTCCAGCTGGGGAGCGTGCTCCCCCCCCCCATGGCTGATTGCTGAGCATGGGGGGGGAACCCCCCTGTGTGCTCCCCGGCAGACTTGGAAGTGGACTGGAAGTACTTCCAGTCCACTTCCAGGTTCACCACCAAGCATGTGGGGGGGCCCCCCTGCGCTCCTGTGTGATGTTCCATCCGCCCCAGCATCGCAGTGATCACGAGCCGCGCCTGGTACCTCGAGGTATGTAGAAAAAAAACATTTAAAGCTGTGTCTATGGCTGAATTGCTGATTCTCTGAATCAGCATTGAACCTTCAGATTAGGATTCAGCTGAATTGAATCGGGCCAATGATCCAAATCAACTAATTGAATCACTGTCCCCGATTCGGGCTGAATCCGAATCAAATACAGCCTGCTTCGCGCACCCTTAGAACATGCAATATCTTGATGCAGGAAAAATTAGCTTGAGTCAGAAGTACTTAATAAATAGTCAATATACAGGAAAAGCTCCGTTAACCGGCACCTTCCAAGCCAGCATGCTCTATCAACTGGCATGCTGGCTGGTAAGGTAAAGTGAAACCGGAAGTGCCCACTGTGGCACTTCTGGTTTCACTGAGTCCCCACGGCCTGGGGCAAAAAAGCCTGCATGGGGCCTGCCTCTGTCCCGCGAGGCCCGCAGGAGGGGCGGCGACGCCCCAGATGTGGCAGGAGAAGCAGCAGCCAGAATAGGCAAGGACACCTGTTCTGGCCGCTCAATTAACTGACATATTTTGTGATCTGGCATCCCCCGTTCCCAGGGGATGCCGGATAACAGAGCTTTTACTGTACTCCTATTCTCTTATTACAGGAAGACACTTTCTTTGTGGTAGCTTGTTTTTTTTTTAAATGAAAAAACAGCAGCTTAAAACTTACTGAGGTCCCATGGTATTCATACTGCTCATAATCAAAGAGAATTTCTTGCCTGAAGAGAGAAGAAAGTTTTTGTTTTTTTAAATGTTTGCTTAAGTGATTAACTTGCCCTTCTTTCAAGTTCATTACATAAACCAAAGAGAGTCAAGTAACCCTTAAATTTCAGATTTGCTGTAGACAAGGAAAAAATATGAAACTCAGGAAAAAAAAACAACACAGAAGCTATATGAAAATTCCAACACTGAAGCTGAAATAGCAATATTATGAAAGTCTATTTCTTTTTATTTTTCCAATTGATTAGCTACCCAGGAATTCCCACTGTCACTAACTGGATTGAACAGGGAGTAAACTGAGGCAAGAATTTGACCCTACATTAAATTTACAACGAAATATTTCTAATAAAAGGAGCAAGTGTCTTCACTAGATATGGACTTATGCATCATTAACCTCCAACTTCTGAATAAAGTATAAAGTAATGAAATCTCATGGAATTAGCAGTGTAGAATAGGACTTTCACGGTCTCAACATTAAGATTTCCAAAAGGGAAAGAAAAGTATAAACAACAAAGAACGCTGGCACATACCTGCGTGCTTCCCACACTCTCCTCTCTCGTCTTTTCATTGTTCTCTCCACGACAGCCTACAGCCAGGTGGTAGATGCCAAAGATGTGATGTAAGCAAGCAAAGAAATTACTTCAGACCTAAACTGACAACTATTGCGTCTAATGTTCAGGCTTTGCAAAAGTTTATTTGTACAGATATGTAGTCTTTTTTCAAAATATTTCCATAAAAACAAGCTTTAATAAAGGAATATATTTTGTTTAGGGCATTTGTTACACATTTAATTCACTACCTTATTAAAATGAAATTATTACATGATTTAGCTACTACAATTGCATCACCTGAAAGACTTTATTTGACACTTGGATAACCACTTAATACTTGAAAGTACTGGGTCAGATCCTTCATGCTCCAAAAAGTTCTCACCATCTCAAAAGATTGAAGCACTAATGAAGGTCTTTTAGGGATATTGCCTGATCAAGAACTTGGACAGGACTGTAAAAGTAATCAGAAATAGAATAGCCGCTGTAAAACCAAGAGTAAGCATTTGAGTTTTGTGGTCAGTGGGTGTGTCTACATTTTCATTAATGCGCCATAGTACTGCGCCTTAAGTTTAGTACAGTAAAAGCTCCGTTAACCGGCAGCTTACAATCCAGCACATTCTATTAACCAGCATGGCGGCTTGTAGGGTAAAGTGAAACTGGAAGCGCACACCGTGGCACTTCCGGTTTCTCCGAGCCCCCACGGCCTGAGGCAAAGCAGCCTGTTCTGCTGAGCCCCCATGGCCTGGAGCATAGCAGGCTGCACGGGGCCTGCCTCCCTGTCCCTCAGGGCCCGTGGGAGGGGCAGTGACACCCCGGACATGGCAGGAGAAGCGGTGGCCTGAACAGGCAAGGACGCCTGTTCAGGCTGCTCAATTAACCAGCATATTTTGTTATCCAGCATCCCCAGTTGCCGGGGGATGCCGGATAACAGAGCTTTTACTGTACTTGGATAACCAAGTACTAATCAATACATAGTAACCTGTGCTACTGTGCAGTAGTGCCAGCGCATGGGGTTTTTTTCAGACGCTAATTGTGCAGCCAGTAGATGAATACTACTGTGCAGTAGCATATTAACATGGGTCGTGCCCAGCATGGTACTGCGCAATGTTATTAGGCTACTGCGCAGGTAGCATCTTGTAGACGCATGCAGTGAGATGATTATAAAGTTTTAATAAACAGACTTCGCTCCCGTGTTTTACTTTTCTTGGAGAATTTTTAAAGGACAGAGTTATGATAGCTTAGCTACATTTCTTTCTATACATCCAAAGGCTTGGAGATTGATTCACAGGGAGACAAAGTTGGTTTCAGTACAGAAACTGGATTAAAAAAAAAAATTAAGTCCAATTAATTCAGGTAAAATATATTTTTCTTTCAACCACCCTATTTAAATGTGACATTATGACAACCTGTTTAGCCTAAATTTGCTATAGTCTACTAAAACCACAGACAACAAAACATTCAAGAAATCCATGTTCACTGGCAAAATTTTGAAGTCCAACCACTGGAAGTCACTGGCAAAGCAGCTTGATCTCATTTCTTTCAAAGAACACCCTTTGAAAGAAGCAACCTCTTCTCCAAGTGCAGAGAATTTCTTTTTATTAATTTATTTATTCCACTAGTTTAGTTCAATGCCTAGGACACTCAAAGTTGAGAAACAATTCATGAATAAACAAGAAAGCCTCTTTTGCTTTTCTAATCCACAAAGGAAATAAAAGGGGTGAGAAACGTTTATCAGCTATTTGAAACCGTCAATTTCTTGAGATGAATTATTTTACCAAATATGTTTTTGTAAAAAAAAAATATATATTTATGTTAACGATAAATACTCCTAACCTCTAAACATGCACATTTATCTAAGAATAAGATGTTCTACAGTCCTTCAATTTTCTTATTTTTAACATTATAATAGGGCTTATTTTACCTTCTGTAACAATCCACTTTGTTTGGGTTTCAAAGGCAAACGACACCAAAGCAATAGTATCAAACTTTCTGTAGAACAGGGTACACATATAAATTTCCACCCTCCCCTGCACAGAACAATGCTGTAAGAAATATACCTCTTCAAATCGTTTGCGCTTCCCCGAAGGTTCTGACCCATCGCTTTCATTCCCAGAATCCTCCTCTTCCTCCTCCTCATCTCTGAAGATATCATCGTAGGCAGGAACGTTAAGATCGTCATCTGGTTTAACCAACAGCTTAATCTAAGAAGAAAAGAAGCATTTAAAAAAAAAAAAAAAAAAATCAAACCTAAAAACCCCTTTATATTTGACCAACCTAGCAATTTCTATTAGTTGTTCCTCTTAGTACAGAAGACTAATTTACTCACTCTGGATTTGATCTGTTCCTACTAGGACACCAAGATTTTGCTTTATATGAATTAGGTGATCAACCCAAGTGACAAGCTAGAAGATTTACCTTCTGCCCTTATGAATTAATAAAAATTTAAATGCTTATTCTCCTTTATCAACAAGGTTATATTTATAGCACCAATAACATTGAAGAATGTAGACTTTCAGTGAAAAATATATTTGTTAAAGGGAAGCCGTCTAGCACTGTAGTACAAATCTCTCAGCATTCATAATTTAAAGTTATATTATTTACAGTCTCCAACCAATACAATCTAGAAGTAAACTTACTGTGCTGTGGTAGATCACCTTTGTTGCAAGGGATAGAAAAATGATAGCTCACTTACTGGATACTGTGAGCCAATTTAAACTGCATATTGTCTTAGACAATTGGATTTACCTGCATATCATTGTAAACATTCACTACATTGACAGGCCTGTGGGAGTCACAAACAAAGAAAAAGGTGTCCTCCTCAGGCTGCAGAACCTCCAGTAGGTCAATGTTGGCACCACAGTTTATAAGAATAAAATACTTGAACTGCAAAAGAAAACAAGGCATCTCCAATTTAATAGGTTACATGGGAGAATAAAACCAAGAAATTATCAAAACTATTCTACCACCAAAGTATTTAACTTTGTACACAGTTGTTTCAGGCAGCTTGGTTAAGGAAACTGAGGGGAAAAAAAATAAAGGCCGTTTTTATAGAAGGATAACATACTTTTAGTTTTCATTGTACAGACAATGAATGCTCACAACTTTCTCAGTTGAAGATGGATACAAATTCAGTTTATAAAAATCAAAACTTGTCTTGACCCTTATGATCTAAACCACACACAGAGTGGGGCAACTGCAAGTTTTACTTCAAAAGAAATTCTGTAACTGAAACGGCAGAAGCATTTGCTGAATTTTTGCTAAAGTTTGCTAAATTAGGTGAGACTGTGGCACATGACAAGAACAGGATATGGGAAATATGCCAAGCATTTGTCCATCATCCACCTAACTTTATTCAGTATTATTTTAGCTAACCACAAAAATATCAGCCTAAGAACCTAGAAGTGAACTGGGAGTGAAAAAAAGGACACTTCAAATTACAGATAAGTAGGAGGCAATATTAAACACACACACCTCTCATTAGGTGAGGTTTTTGTTGTTTTTTTTTACCTGATCTTTATGTTCAAGAAATGCAGTTTCAAGTTCCTGCCACCCAGACACTGGAACTAATGTGTACTGTACATGGTCACATTGAAACAATGCCTAAAAAGAAGCAAACAAGAAATGTTTAGCTAATGAAGAAAATTAGTAACAATTACTATATTTCTGAAAAATACTCCCATGCAAGACTTTGAATAGGAATTATCATGAAATCCCAGCATCATGACTGGTAGGACGAAAAAGGGTTAAGCATAAATAAAACACTGAATGTTTAAAACTAAAGTTAACACTTCCCTCTCACGTTCCTTTCCAC